AAGCTTTTCAGTCTGAGTTCCATCGCTGTGCCTGTTGCTAGATAACCCCAATCGTGCCTTTTCACCCACCAACTGTTTGTGAAACAGCTGCAGGATCGTCTTCTCGGTGGCGATGATAGCCCCATAGTCGACCTTCATCCCATTTTCTTTGCCCTGACACCTCTATGTTTTAATGGAGAAGGCATAATCTGAGTGAGTGAAGATTATGAAAAGTGAATGCTCTAAAAAGTTTGATATGTTACTGCTCTTTTTTCAATTCGGTGAATTTTTTCAAGGGAACTTAAGCGTTCTACATCCTGTTCCTTGCTACCTTCTCGTCACGAAACCGCACGAAACCTCATAGAATATAAGAGTTTCATGCGATGTTGCGAACGTAGATTTTTGTGAACGGTGTTTGATGCGGGAGACAGGCATATCTTGTTTGAACAGACCTGTGATGCACGTTCGGTAGTGTAGGTCCGAGCAATATGTGAACGGCTCTATATTACAGTTCCAGGGAAATACTTGTTCTCAATACGTGACAAATGGGTTTCGGTCGCGCCAGCGGTTGTAAGCAGGGTCATCCGTGACGCTCGCACATTTTCCAAAATTTCCCGACCCCCTCCTTTAGGGGTTTCTCGATGCGACCCTCCACCATCAGAGACTCAGGAGGTTCCCCCAATACGACCACCATCCCCGACCACCACCCTTGCCGTGTAACGGCGAATTTTCTCTACTCCCACCTATTCTACCTCACGCTGCTCCAACACAACTTCCATCCTCAACAAGAAACATTCATCCTCAACAACGCAAAAACTTACGCAACGAAATAAATGAGCAATAAACAAGAAACAATAAACAAGAAACAAATCTAAATCGCCTCGCCATTCCCTTCAATCACTAATCCCACTCAACCGCTAAATGCGAACCCCCCCCCTCCTTCCCAAAACCAAAAATGCGACCCCTCGTTCGAAGAGTGCGAAAGCACGGTTGACCCTGGTTGTAAGTAGCGGTTAACGCGTAGAACAACACCCAATTTTCCTAGAAAAGTAAAGAGCTTTACCAAAATGTTGGTCGGAAAACAATGGCAAGTTATAATAATCAATCCGCACACGTAACTGACTGTAACGACTGTAAATTTTTCAGTGGCAATTTTCCGCCTTACATTCAAGGAAACATTGAAAGAATGTTAGCTGATCTATGTGAGCCATTTTAGTTCATGACGGAGGACATGCATATGCGCAGTTCTGACCGAGTTCGACGTGAGCATGCCTTCCATGGTGATGACGACGCCATCACGATCGATGATCTTTGGGAAGCATGGTTCGAAAGCGACGAGAGAGCGTGGAATAATGAGCAGGTTTAAGTTAATTCTGTCGTTTGCTCTCTGAGATACAATCGGTCATTGGTCGGTATTCAAATATTGGTACACAATCTACCGACAAGTGTGAGAGTCAGTTGTAGCATGGGCTCTTGCTCTTGCTCTTGCAGCTGCTGTTCACGTTTGTGCCGTGCCCTTATTTTATTTCTTTTGCGTATTTACCAATTCAGTATGCTACTTCTGCATACGACTTTAAACTACAAACATTAGTGAGACCAATCGCTGAGCATGCTTCATGTTCGCGCTTGTCAAGGTTGTACTCAAAAGCTTCGATGATCCTTCCAAGACGTGTTTCAAGGTGCACTTTGCGGAAAATCAATTTGAATGGGTGTTTTGGCGATTGTATCCTTTTGAACGAGGGAAATGGCGGAACATTTGAGGAATTTGAATTCCGATGGTTCTCTTATTGTAGCCGAGCATGCTTACCTACATTCAGCGATAAAGTGAGAGTGGAGGTTCTGTCTTCAACATTTTAATAAGCTAGGCGCTACTGCTGCCTGGTGCGGAGTGCGTTGAATGTTAGACACGGCTGGTACTTAGGGTATCGCACATCACGTGTGGGATTTTTTTGCACGAGTTTTTTGGTGTCAGTTAAAGGTGATACCGATAGCATACCGCTCATATTGAGAAAATATCAAAATGAAAGGGTTAATGATATATTCTCTTTCATTCTCACACCCTCCCTCTATTATAGCAATTAGATGACAGGATGCAATGCAGGATCTCTTCCTTTAAATGTTAATGTTTTCAGTTTGCCACAGCTCCGACTCCCTAAAACATCGTGTAATGAAGTTTCTTTAGGTGCGTAATTGGATAGTTAATGAGGTGAACCTCCCCATGTATGCCGACCGGATTGTGGAGCTCAAGATAGACGGAACGGTGTTGCCGAGGTAATTTTTTCCTATGTGCTTGTCTTTGTTTTTTTCTAGTCCGTGGCGCGAAATAACCGAGAACATATAGCGGGAGGCAGGGGTTCGATTCTTGCTTGGGGGAAGTGTTCTGCCCGTAATCCTGTATCAGTGTCGTATTTTTCACATGGCGAACCGCAGCGGACTGCAGCTAAAAATCAAAAGAGTCAAGAACATGATTTGGGGTATTTTACGCTCATCTTGGGTGGTATAGAAATATTCATAAAGTTAGTGAAGCGCGAAATAATTTGGCATGCAAATCCCTCAAATGCTTGGCCACAAACGCTTGTTATGTTTTGGTGTGAGTCGGAAATTCTTTGCTGATTGTACCCATTGATAAGTAGGCATTATAGGTCACCCGGGAGCACCTAAACATGTTTAGAGATGTAACAGGTCCCTAAATGTGAAAAAATCAAATTTGTGGAGTAGTAGGGAATTCGATAAACTCATACCGTGCCTAAACCAGTACATTTCATTGAGTTGGTCTATGATTCTGAGGTAGATTTCGGATCGCAATTCTCTTCTCAATGTTGTGAAAAATTGAAATTACAAGTTTTCAGGTTGGCTGTCCATAACTCAACGTATATGACAACTTACCTTGGAATAAAATCGTCAGTACATCGTCAGAAACTACGACTCAACGCACTGGACGTCGTCTTATTTGGCCATCGCGATCCTTCGTCGAAAGGAAAAGATATTGCTCTTGCTTTATTGGTAACACTTGTTGTGACTATCTTCTCCTGTTACTTTTTTAAATCGCAGTGGAGGGAATTTTCAGCTTCTTTTGCTTACATCGGTTTTAATTCTCTACGTCAAGCAACGTCGACGGGCCCGCCTCCAGGTCACTGAGCTCTCCCAGAAACTAAAGGAATTGAAATCGATGGAGAACGAGTTTGATCACGAACAAAAGAAGTGGCACGAAGAGCGAAGTAGACGGTGAGGCAATATTGCTTCTGCAAAAGTTAGCAGTAGATGTTAATCGGTCTCGGTTCAGGTCAACGACCGATGGAGGAGTGAGTCAAGTCGAAGTGGATAACCTTCGGGTTCAGTTAGAAGCCGCTGAACGAAGGTGAGGAGTGTTCTGTACTTTGTAGATGGGTTACTTTTTCGCCAGTACGGTTTTGTAAGAAAAGAAAGGCAAAAAGAAAATGTTAATAAAAATGCATTTCTCCTTTCTTCGCCTATTCACATCTGATTGTTACATTGATCTCTGCATATGCTAAGGTTTTCTCCCTCACAGATTGGAAGAGAATGGATATGGTGGTTGTCCGCTTGCACTCCAACCGCTTCTTCGAAAGACTTGTGAAATTGAGATGGCATTCCTAGAGAAGCAAAAGCAGGAGTAAGTTTCCACTGCACGTTTGTATCCTATTTGTTCCAGGTGAATAGAGAATTTGGCACTAACGAAGTGAAATCGATATCGATATATTGCGATTTATTGTCTCCTGTAATTTTGCTGGACATTTGGTGTTAATCAAGTATAATGCGTTAGTGAGTCACAGATGGCACACTAAAATTAGGAAAGTGTTACTGTTTCTGGATTAGATAAATAATCGGTTGCGAAATGTAAATTGTGTTGAAAAATGTTGTAAATTGAATTTGAATTTGTATTTAATTACAGATGCGTAAAAGAAATGCGAGATGCGATTGAAATGGTAGATCGTCTTCAGAAGAAAACATCCAGTGTCCTGTCGTCGCTGAAACTGGCAACTGGAGCATCATCTTCCAGTGATCAAGTTGACAGTAAAATCTTTGCTCTGAAGTGAGTTTTTGGTACTTGTTTGCTTAAGTTTCTAGACGTAGTACAGTTTACATAATCATGTACACTTGAACAGGTCTCGCATGGACAAAATCCAAGGGCTCATGCGTGAATCTCAAGAACGATGGCTTCAAATAGAGTCTCTTTGCGGATTCTCTGTCCTCTATGTCGGCGGTGAGTCGAACTGCCATAGAAGTATTTTTTCTTGAAAATTGAGTCAAATGCTTGTG